TGTACCGATTCCCGCCGGAAAAGATAGTCAACTCCTGCTTTCCTTCGTGGCTCACGAAATTCGCGCGCAGCAGCTCCGCGTTGCCGTTTACGAAGAAACTGAACTGCACGAGGATGGAAAGCCAGACGTCGTCCGGCCGTACAATCAGCCCGCGATGATTATTGTACGCCTCGACGACTGTCTGGACGAACCCGTGCTTCTGAGGGATGATGTCTCGAATAGACGCGGCGGCATCTGACAACGAGGTTTGCAAGAGCTCGCCGCATTTTGCATATTGAGCTTCGGAAATCTTTTCCAGAAGTACTAGAGATGGATTTTTTCCGACCCCAACTCTCAATCTATGGTCTTCAGTAAATGATTCAATAGATTGGCGGCTGGGAGAAAAGGACACTGAGCGATCAGAACCGGTGACGCTGCCCGCCTAGAACAACAGTGACCTAGTCAAACAGCAGTTACGGCGATGTCAAGGTCAACGGAGGAGCGAACCGTTAAGTTCACTGCAGGTTGGAATACGTGCGTCACAGGCGTATTCTTGCGAAGCTTGTGCAATTTGGAACTTGTTCGAATGTCAGGCGCTCCTATAGTCGGTGCGATCACGATGGTATCCACGGTGCTACTTCCACCCCCTTCGCTCCCCAGTATTGCGGAGGTATCACTCTCGGTGAATTTACTTATGACTGGGGACTGCAGCAGCGACAGTGTTGATAGCGGTGGCGATTTGGGAGGGGGAGTTGGAGGCCGATCTTTGGTCTTGGAGAAGAACGGCAGCGAAAGGGATAACTTCCGAGGCATTCCAAGAGATGGGTTAAGGCGGAAAAGAAATTCAGAGAAGCAATCGAGGAAATCAAACCTGTCCAGGTCAGACGCAACAACGTTAGAGAAGTGCGAACCTGCAGAGATGTGACCGCAACCCGCAGATCCTCCATTTCGAGCGCTTTATATACCGGAGCACGAGGCCTCGGGCAACCGTGTCACCTGGAGACTGGAATATAACGAGGGCGTTATATTGTGCACATATCGATCCTGACCAAGAGGCTGGTTAACGTACACATTCGGAGGCCCGCCGACTCAACATCGAGTCGAACAGAAACGCTCATTCTCTTTTACATAAAAGATATCCAGAAGAAACGCTCAACGAATAAACTGACATATTCTTATAGCACGCAAGATGTTACAACCGTGGGCCGAGACGGTCTCGGAGCAGATTTTCCAAAAGCACGCCTGCGAATCGGTTGCGATACCTCGGGTGGGCCTAGTGATCATGTAGATGCTCGTCCTTCCAACTTGCATTGTTCCGGACACCCAGCGATATATACTTTTGTAGAGCCGAATCGAGTCGGGTCAGACCTGCAACCTTATCGCCCAACTCTTAAACGGGGGGTTCACTCCATCTCTCGTCTCACCCGCGCCCTTGTGTTTTCGCTGTTGCTATGACCAACTCTCTTGCGATGCGAACATAAATCCTGTGTGGGCGCGGGTGAGATATACTACACTAAACGTCGATCCTCGAGAGACATACTAGTCTGAGTGTCTATTGGCGTCCTGCCTGCTTCAGATGCGGCCGATTCATTGAAAGTCGGAGGCATCAGGGAGTCCATCGCTACCTCTGAAATAGGCTCGGCGCGATGGACAGATGCCATGGGCGACAAGGCGCCAATCTGCCTGTCAATCTCTTTGCTCACTTCGCTTCGAGTGAAGTCTGCAACTCGCAAACTTATCTGCCTCAGACCGAGAGCCAGCCGTTGGCCCGTGATGCTGACCAGCGTCAGTGAAAGCCTATCAAAGATCAGAACCTGCTGGAAGATATACCAGGTGTAACACCCTTACAGATCAGCCATGTAATTGCGAGGCCGCTGTCGCGGGAATTAGTAACAATACCTAGACCTGTAGACAGAGGAGCACAGACTTTGGCGAATATTATCCTACTCGATCGTCAGCAGCTTAAAGACTTGATAATCACAAGACTCGCCAGACGGTACAGTTGAACACGTTGCTGAACGTGGCGGCCTTTCGATGCTACTAGTTTGGTGGAGTGCCCCTTTGATATCGGTGAGATAGGACTCACCAGAAAGAAAATCCCAGCTGAAACGTGCCATCAGAGACTCGATCAAGCCAGAATATTAAGCACTCACAATCTCGATATAATCTGCGCACAATTGGAGGGAAAGCAGCACGTTCCCGCCCCGGGAATTGGCGGCTCAGGCTAGTAATATTGAGCAGAAAGACTGCGAATTCCAACGCGAAGCTGAAAAGTGGCTGAGTAGTACACCAGTAAGTTAACGAATACATACCTGCCCACCCAGATCAGCCACTAAAGAGTCAGGGTGAGGTTCAATACAGTCAAATCGATACACTTGCTCACCGTAGCATCTTAAATAGAATAGCTGGCTTTAGGACGCTTGTGCAATGAGTTTTCTCTGTTTGCTCACTAGATGGACTTGGTAGCCTCCTTGTGCAAGTTCTTGAGACATGGGCAACAGTGTCTGTTCCGATGGAGTGTGATCAGTTGCGAGCAGGTTCTTGCAGGGATGACTCACACTGAGCAGAGACTATTCCATAAGCTTCCAAAGCAACAGAAAGGGCCTCAAAAATTGCGAACACGACGATAAGAGCTGTTGCTATCTTCCTGGAACGTTGACTAATTGCCCATGCTCGTATGAGGATGAGTGCTTCACCATATGCACTGCTACTTAGTTACCTCATCGCGCGGGGAGACTAGAAACGACACACCATGGACAGAGGAAAACGCGGCGAATTGATATAATGCTTTGAATAGATTATAGTAGAAGCAGAACTGTCGCCAAAAACGAATCAGTACCAACAGTGACCTTACCAGGCGGTACCGTACCGAATTGGAAGGATCAAATACAGACCCTGACTGCTCTGCTAAAATGACCGCTTGAAGGATCAAGTTTCCGTAACGATTGAGGAGGAACAAAATCTTGACAGTTGACCAACGGGATGGCCAAATCAGTCGAATCTGCATTGAAGCAAATGTTCCCATCAGATGCGTGGTCTAGAACTGTTGGCACACACAGTTTTTGTGATTCACCTCATCGTTCAATGTCAAGAGATAATCCCAAATAAGGAGGGAGTAACTCGAAAGTCCCATGATGCTGATGGTGTCGTGAGCGACACGGGAATTGTTGCAGCATGAGAAACCCACCGGATAATGCGAAGATCTCCGGCAGTCTGAGCCGTCAAAACGGGTGCAACATCCTCATAGTGTGCATAGGACATCGGAAGCCAGCTGGGACAAAGGTCGGACGGAGATTGTTATGCAGAGGTACTCAAAGTGTGGAGCTGAGTTCCTCGCCCCCAGAACCTAAAAGGCACAAAACGCTTCCCTTCAGGTCCTGGATCAATCGTACCGGTGGCCTGTGAGCCTCAAAGGGTACGTGGCGACCTAGGGTGCGACGAAGCACGCAATCTTTAATGCGTCGTCTTTATATAAAATTCTGTTGAGGAATGCCTTACATACCTCGCATCTGACCCTGAGTGAGTCGGATCAAATCATGGAAAAGTACACACCCGATACTTGAGCCTTCGAGCTCTGAGAGTGCTCTGAGTTGTAACTGTCAGCGATATTTTGACGGCTGGTATTTGGCGATTGGTAAGAGCTGAATGTGCAATAGACACGTGAAAGCCCTTCTGAGTACTGACGGAGACAACCTACGTGCATGTGCCTTGGACTTCAGCGATGGTAAGCATCCTTGACAGCATCGCGGGACTCACCACACCAATTATAGCTCCGATCGGTTGCATTGCGAGTACTCGGCGGGCTTTGGCAGGCCCCACTGGCTCGCACGTGTTCCAGCGTGATAAATGTGACCCTGCAAACCAAAGTCTTGGGCACACCGGGGAGCGGCGGCGGGACTCAATTGCACTGTGCACCACAACAACCCAGCAGACGAGAATGGTAGCCAATCAGAAAAGATGGAACCGATCCGAAACTCGCACCACTGGGCCTTGATATTTGCACAACATCGATCATAAAATTCAAGTTGAAGAGTTCGAGAAAAGTAGTAGCGCCGATACAGGGATTCGTGTCGAGGTAAACAATTAACAGGAAGGTAGGTATGAGTGAGATTACACTTCGTATCCAGGGGGCATATCTTCTGGGTTGGATGATCCCGCGTCTGTCCCAGAGGATGTGTATGTTGCTGTAGATAGGCAAGCGTTCAGCCTAGAAATTGAGAAGGTGTACAAGTACCAGGAGTAAACGAACTCACGTAGACCCTCATCCTCCCCCATCGCAGCCTGCCTCTTCATGTAGATAGCCCTTTCCCGCGTCTTGTCCAGAATGCTTACGAACTCGAAAATCCCGCGGTCATTAAATCGTATCTCCAACTTTGTACCATCTGTGAGGCCGCCACCCGCGGACGGTTTGATGTCAATCCCGAGGTAGTTGGCGCCAAAAAAGGGCTGTTCGAATTTGGTGGATAAGATTGAAGGCAGTGGTATAGAGAGCGAGTCGAAGGACGGCCTAATTTTACCGCCATCAGGTGTGGTGAAGAGCAGCTGTAGGTTTCCGGATGCCGGAGCAGGAAGGCATCAATACAAACCCCTTAGGGCACACGGACAGCACAGATGCGCACACGTTGATCGGTTAGCCAAAGTCGGCCACTTTCCTTCATATTCTTCACTCCGTCCACACTCCCTGCCATCCCAGCGCCAGAAGGTGACGCGTCTGGAATTATCAAAGTGTACTCGACCTGAGAATCTACAGTCAATATGGTCTGTTCGTGCGGCAAGGGAATCGGAAAGCGCTTGGAGTCCAACATAGCCCAATTGAGAGCCATGTTGTTGATCGGCAGTGGACGAGAGTATCGGAGAGGAGCAGCCACCTCAGTCGGTGCTCCTTCAGTAACAGCGCCCCTCAGTTAGGCCTCACGTGGGCACCGGAGGCATCCAGCATCACGCATGATTGAGAGGCAGACAAAACAGAAGCAATCAAGTAGAGATGCTATCTGTATGACATGTCATGCTACGCTGTTCATGGCTACCTAGCGCAATGGTAGCGCGTTTGGCTTCGATTGCCTTCGTCTATCATACACCGTACTTCTTACCAAAAGGTTGCAGGTTCGAGTCCTGCGGTGGTCATATTTTTTACACTTTTTAGGCAAGTGATATGTTGATAGGGGCCTTAGCGAATGGTCTCTCCGAACTCTCTCAAGCCCATAAACTGGCCCAAGAGGTCATCCTTCTGGGTGTGTGTTCCAAGGGTGCAGGCTTTTGTTGCCTCTCTGTAGCTTCAGCTAAGCATTTGAGGATTTCCTAAACTGTCTTTGAAATTGTACTGCACTCATACGTGTGTGGTGCACATGTACATTGTTCAGCAGGTTATTGATCTCCACTAGGTACAACGAATCCTTCCCTCCAGCAAAGTCTGTGATCATGATACAAAAACTTTACATCACAAGCAACCTCCAAATATTGATATCCTCATCATAGCCATGCAGTCCACATTCTTCCTACAGAGGTCACTCGTCCTGAGGCAAGGTTCGTCTCAGGAATTCTTTTAAATCACGGAGCTCTTGGGGACATGTTGTGTGCTCCATTCCCGCGTATGTCTGGAAGTTCAAACCGATTGGGGTACCGGTCTTGCTTGCATCACGTACCCCGAGCTCCGCACGCAAGTAACCCACAGAGTCACGCCCGAACCGATACTGGACGATCGGATCCTGTGTGCCGTGGCCCCAGAAGATCGGGATGTTCGCAATGTTTGTACCAGCAAGCTAGCGATGGATGCGAATGTAGCACTGCTTTTCAAACATGGAAGAGCGCATACCTCCTTGAATCTAGCCTTCAGTGGAAGCCATCCACTCAGGATTACCGCACCCCCCAAGTTCCAGCTTTCTCCTCCCCAATCTTCCCTTGCCTTGGTGCCTAGTAGACTTGTGATCAAAGTCAGCGCGGAACCCTGGCTGAACCCGCCGAGGACAATCCGCGACGGAGGGATACCCGCGTCCACTTCCGCTTTTATGAGGGTATCGATGGATCTCATGGATTGGAACATGCCCTTTGAGTCCTCTGACGCATCGAAATCGAATGAATAAATGTCAAACCACGAGGGCATCTCCATGCCCATATTCGCCGTAACCGGCTGAGATGGACTGAAGGCAGTTCACGATGGTGGAATGGATATTTGACAGGTAGAATGCTCACGCGTGAGGAAGGATCCATTTGACATGACGGAGGTCCGGACTGAACATGTCTGCAACCGGTTTCCAGCCATACCCACTGTCACCTAAACCCTGCCACAAGGTGAACAAGATTTCGTCCCGAATACTCTGAGAACTCACATGCATGAAGATAACAGTCGCGGTGTGCTTTGCGGTCGGCGCAACAGTAAGGAATTTGAGTGGGGAAAGAGCAGCCATTTCGTGCCTTGGGGTTTCTATTGACGCGCGACTTGGATCGAACACGGTCTTGTAGATGCACGCGATAACGATGAAAATGAGGCCTGTAGCTAGAACCCTTCGATCACTTGGGAATCGTGCTGGCATACCCTTAAACGGCAATTGCCGTCTTGGAATAACGAGCTGCGACCGGGCTCGCGACGATCGGTCACACTTTATATCCAGTCAAGATTGACTCATCGATGGACTTGGCCCAAACACTACAACCTTCCCCAGAGCCCGCCGTGGTAGATGCATCGGAACGGCAAGAAGATATTCAGCCTCAGCCGCTGTCGAAGAAAGGCCAGAAAAAGGCAGCAAAGGCAGCACGTATGGCAGAACTGAAGCTCGAGCGGCGCGTCCGCGAAAGAGAGGCCAAGAAACGCAAGCGCAAGGAGCGTGCGGAAGCAGAGAAAGAGCGCAAGGCTGCCGGAGAAGAAGACACAGGTGAAGTAGAGGTAGATACGAGGGCGAAGAGGCGGAAATTGGGCAAGATCAGTCCGCAGAACGTTTTTAATGCACAGGTCGTGATCGACCTTGGGTTCGATGATATGATGATTGAGAAAGTTGGCCGTTTCCTTCTCGGATCCGTCGTAGAAGTGACTAATGTGACCCCGGGATGCCCAGGAAATTGTATCTCTCACTTCACAGCTTGCATATGCCTACAGCGCCAACCGTTACGCACCAAAGCCTTTCTCGGCGATAATATTTAGCTCTTTAAACGCACGCACGAAAGCTCGTTTGGACGGCATGAATGATGCTTCATACAGACGCTGGGCCGGCACGAAATGGTGGGAAGAGGGATATGAACGATTGTGGGCAGAGAAAAATATCAGCGACACCACAGAAGAGGGAAGTGCACAGGACGTCCCCGCTCAAGCCAGTGTTGTATACCTCACTGCAGACTCCGAGCACGAGCTGATGGAACTCAGCGAGGGTGAAACATACATAATCGGCGGGATATGTGACCATAACCGATACAAAGTTGGCTCCTGTTTCACCGGCCGTTGAGTGAGAGCTGATCCTGGCTCCAGAACCTCTGCCTGAACAAGGCCAAAGCCTCTGGCATCCGACACGCACGCCTTCCTATCGGGCGATACATAGCATCGCTCACAACACGGAAGGTGTTGACCGTGAACCAGGTACGTGTGGCTCCCTGAAATTTTTAGTGCTTCGTCAATCATAACAGAGAAATCTGAAGGTGTTTGAGATACTGTTGAAGTGGGTCGAGAGCCGAGATTGGGAACAGGCTTTCTGGAGCGTCATCCCAAAGAGAAAATTTCAAGGTTCAGGCGCAAACGACGAAGTTGACAGTAAATCGAACGCCGATGACGTTTCCGTTGAAGACGAGAAGACACTTGCCCCAATGCCAAAGGTTCAAGATAGCAAACCAGGTCTCTCCGAGTCTCATTCCCAACACCCGAAGGAAGAAGCTGATCCTTCGGAATCGGTGTCACCAAGTGCTCAATGACCAATAGTGAAAACGGAATTTTGTGATCAGTTGAGGTAACCGCCAGCTCAAGGATCAACGAGGTGGCTATCATAAGACGTCCTTAAGATTCGTCTGCGCCGTACCCCGTTCGAGAGGCTTGGGCTGGGTAGGGGCTGGCTTCCACCCAATCTGGAGGTATAGTGAATGAGGAGTCTAAAGTAGATCGGCGTTCCACTCACCATGTAGATAACTTGGAACGTAGCTGGTATGGAACCGTCCTCATTCCCGTGAAGCTCTGCGCATGGGTGAGTCAGTCGCTACCGGCTGGTTATGCGGAGGAAGGCCACTTCACCCTTATAGATTGCGGAAGCAGCAGCCAGGGTGTCTCGATGCAAAAAGTGTCTCCTGATGGTACCAACTTCAACGTCGACTTTTCACTCAATCGAAGGGACGAGACACCAACCGCCCAATAACACTGTTGCTCTCGCCCATATCTCTGAGATCCTCAACAAGCTCCCACATGCTCGGGTACGCAACCTTGACCTCGTCAACGTCAACGGTCAGCAAAGTGAAGCCTGCACGAGAGAGGAGATTGGATATGTCCTTGGTATCTGAATCAAGCTTTAAAGGAGGCCCGGTAGACGTGAAAGAGGTGGGAGACGGACCGGTCATAGGTGACACGTGCGGTGAGATACCGCCTTCGCGATCCACTTCAGCAAGTTGCAAAGACGTGCTATAGGACGTCAATACGCATGGTTTCATAGGTGTTTTATGCCACAAGGAATTACCGAAGTTCAAAAAGGGTATCCCCTCCAAAGACAGCAGCGAGGAAGAGGCCATCGGGTTGGAGAGCTTCTTTGATCTGTACAAGGACGCCTGTAACGAGCTGTAAGAAGTGGCTGCGCAAAGACTATGGAGACGGAGCTCACCAGGTAGGTCATTTGCCCATTGTAAACTTAGACATGATACGATGGCCTCTTGGGTGTTGCGTGGAATGATGTCAAGAAGGTTCTCCTCATCTGCATGTATTCTTTCGACCTCGACTGGGGAGAGGTTTGATGTGAATCGGCAGCAGAAGCTGATATAATGAAGATATATCACCATCAAAATCTTCATCTGGGTCCCTATTTAACGTTTGCTCTATGTATAGGAGACAAAGGTTAATACCGCCGAGAAGTGAATTGATACAACATACCACTAGAGTCGATCATGATCACTTTGCGTGTCTTTTCAGGTTCAAGTAGCTTAGAAAAGTGTCCCGGACCAGAGCCTAAGTCAACAATCGTGTCAAACTTGCGCTTGATGTCCTGCAGGTTCATGTTAATCACGTCCTAAGGTGCCCGAGTGAAACAGAGACGCACCAATAATCTTTCCATCATCCTATCTGCCACTTCGTCTCGCACGTAATCTACTGTTCGACTTCGAACTCCAGCGTCCCGAGAGACTGCGCGGTCTTTCTGGAGTCGCTTCGCCGCGCGGTCAAAGACCTGGTAGGGCCCCGCGGGGGCCATACTCTTTGTCGTGAATGACGAGGACGACTCCGATGCAAACGTCCGTGCATTGGCCCATTGCCATTGTTGCGATAGACGCGCCCGGTGAACGAGTCGAAGAAAGACCATCAGTGGCACAAGGCGTGACACAGTGTGACCGGTCGTGAGTTGCGTGATACGTGACTGTAACATCGCTTCACTTCAATTCCTGACGCGCCTCCCAAGATTTTGTACCACTGAACGAGGCTCTCAGTCTTTGGGACACGCTCAAGCACCTCACAGAGTCCGCGGAAAAGTAGATCCCCACCCCAATTAAAGACCACGGCGGAATGGATAATGGCCAACAAAACGAATACCGCGGCCTCAACCTATATCGTCCACCTACCATCGTCAACGCTGAAGAGTATGCGCGAAATCGAGCGCATATCAATCACTATAAGAAGATCCTGGAACAGTACGAGAAGCAGAATAATGATGCCTATGGGCGATTCTTCACTCAAGAGCTTGAGGAACGCGTAAGGGCTGGCCAAGAGGCTGAGTAAGTCACCTTGTCACGAGTCGCCACAACGTACTGAGTTAGGAGCACTTAGACAGATATTGGCACAGTACAATAATGCATCAAATGCTCTGTGAGTTATGCCATACTCTGTCTGGGTACACTTGGGACCAATACACACTAGTTCTAGTACCACTCATGGGTCATCGTCGGTAGCCTGGAGCAGTGCCCCTGCTGCTGTCCCTGCGGTCTCCAGCTCCAGTGCCACGCAAGGTTCTGATGTC